CACACAGGCACACAAACACACACACACCACACACCACACAGGCACACAAACACACACACACCACACACCACACAGGCACACAAACACACACACACCACACAGGCACACACACACACACACAGAGGAAGGCAGGCACACATACACACAGGCACACAAACACACACACAGAGGCAGGCAGGCACACACACACTCACACACACACACACACACACACACACACACACCTACCTTGGAATACTCACCTTTGGTTATCATCAGCCAAGTCAGGTCCCTGGTAAAAAAAAAAAAAATTCACACACTTAGGCTTTTGTCCCCCTAGTGCAGGAGTCAAAATAAGAAATGGGGCCTTTCACATACTTAGGCTTTTGTCCCCCTAGTGCAGGAGTCAAAATAAGAAATGGGGCCAAAACAGGCCTGCACCCTTTGGCCTGCAGGTGTGAGACCTGGCGATTGAAGCAATTGATAATGAACTCTGGAAAATCCAGCCAGCTCCTGATTCCTCCCTGCGGAATGCTTTAGGCAGCACACCTCTAAACAATGCAGTTGACGTGGAGCTATGTACTTGAAACCACACAGCACGCTTCCTTTTTTGGCTCGCTTCTTCTGTGTTGTATTATATGTCCAGACTATCCATATAGCCTATACAGGGCCTCATAGCATAAATCCTCACCATTGCTGACTAGCCTTCAGGCATATGCTTACAGCGTGGTGAGGAGTCCTGCCATTCTACAGTAAATGGCCAGTGGGGTCCTTTCCAGTTTTTTACGACTATCATGAGCATTTTGGTATCTTACCCATGGAAGACACATGTAAAAGCCTCTCTAGAGCATACCTCTAATGAGGAACAAGAATGGAACCCGAGGTAGGTTATTAACTGGTAGTTTCTTGGGAAATATATACTCACATGAGGAATCAGTAACCAGATTTGGCATTCCAAGAAGTAAGCTCCCAGATGCTCCTAAAAGCTGACTGAAACCCGAGTGAGAGGGAGCCTGGCTCCTCCTCACCCTTTATCCCACCATTAATGTACCGGTGACCAGCACAACCCGGCATGGTCAGCCACACAGGTATCGGGGTCTCTCCCTACAAATCCCCTTTTAGTCTAAAAAGGATTTAATCTTCATACAAAACTAAATTGTGTGCAAAATATCTTGACATATATAAGGGCATACATCATCTTAAGTAGAGAGAAGACTTTACAAAGTAAAGTCTTGTGACCAACAAATTATACATAAGTTACATCATCCAAAGATCTAAACAGTGTAAATTGTCTATAGTTAATAATCATAAAGGTGAATCACAAGAAAATTTAATAATCTACCTCTATCTCATCCTAAATATGTCTATTCCATCTAAACTCTAAAGTCATCTGAAAGAGATGTCCAAGCCTGAACACCTCCTTCCAAACCCAACCCTAAACAGTAGGAATCTAGCCTAACTAGGTGTATGCTATCCTTAGGGTCCACAGTGGGGAAAGGGGCTCTAGTATTCTCAGAGTTACTCCCTGCTGAAATGGGACGACAATAGCATCATGGGGTCCTGTAGGAAGAAATTGTTAGTGTAGTGAAAGTCTAGAGTGGACTATCTACAACACTTGTATCCAGCCTGTGTTTGGCTGGAGGTGCTTGATTGAAGTTCTTGGTGGAAGTCCTTATCTTGATGGAAGTCCTTGTTTTGATTGAAGTTCTTATCTGAAGCTCTGGCCTGAGTGTAATTAGAACATGCACCACTTCAGCTAACTGCTCCTGACAACAGGGTCAGGTTGGAACCCAGGGTTTGAAGGGGGAGGGAACACAGCAACCATGGGGTAGTAGCCCCCTCCCCCCGGGTTAAATTTACTTCCCCAGGTCCTGACGTCTGACACCAGATAATGAGGAACAAGAGCCAGGCATCAGTGGCCCCCGCCTTTAATCCCAGCACTCGGGAGGCAGAGGCAGGTGGATCTCTGTGAGATCCAGGCCAGCATGGTCTACGAGAGCTAGTACCAGGACAGCCTCCAAAGCCACAAAGAAACCCTGCTTCCAAAAAACAAATAAAAAAAAATAAACGAGGAACAAAATGGGACCTGAGATAGGTTATTGGGAAATAAATACTCACACGAAAAATCAGTAACCAGATTTGGCACTCTGAGAATTCTGGTCCCAGATGCTCCAAAAAGCAGGCTGAGCCCTGAAAGAGAGAGGGAGCCCGGCTCCTCCTCCCAATTATCCTACCCTTTACATACCTGTATTGGGGTCTCTCCCTACATACCTCCAAAAATTAGAATTCCTGACTGGTCTGTGGCTTATGCATAGCACCAGCTTTACCAAACAATGACAGCTTGGGCTGTTGTAATTTGTGGCTTGTAGATATCTGACAAGGGATCTCAGTCTGTAGCTCAGGCCGCCCCAATGTGTTTTCTGCGGCAGTCTTCAGTCACACCAGCAAAACAGAGAAATCCCATTGCCACAGGTACACCAGATATCAAAAGAAGTTTTCCATCTGGAGGTGGTCACACTCCGATTACTATTAAGCTTTCACACATTCTCACACTTGTGAATCTTTTGTCTAGTCTCTTCTGTGCAAGGCCTGGAGCAGATTGAACTCTGTTCAGCTGTTTAGGTCCTGTTTCCCATTTGTGATCACCGCTTTGGCTGGTTATAAGTTTAAATGTCAGTCCCAGTGTGTGGACACAGTATTCTTTTAAGGGCCTTGTTCTTGAATCTGTACCTGCTCTGTACTGTGTTGTGTGAACAGGCGGGAAGCTTGGTACTGTTATAGTCAGATGTGAACATAAAAAGAGGCCTCGTGGCTAGGCTTTTTCCTTTTAAAGATGACAGTAGTAAAACATACTTTGTGGACTAAAGGGGATCCCCATAGGGACAATAGAGATCTTGAGGCAGGCTGGGCTGGTGATGGACAGACACATGTGACCTGAAAGCAGAAAGGGGACTGCTGGGGTGAAAGGACTCCAAAGGCTGGAGGTGGGGGCAGTGGGGCCATGAAGGCTAAGAGGGGTCCAGAGAAACTACAAAAACAAGCTATGCAAGGAAGAGTCAACAGTGATTCTGATACTTTGCATGTGAATGCACAAAGTAAACACAAACACAGAATAGAGAGAAAGGATTCTGGAGCAAGGGAGAATAGCTCTGTCTTGTCCCACTTGCCAAGCACCCACAGTAGCCTGGGTTTGATGCCTGGGAGAATGGAAGATGGATTGGAGGAAGGAGGGAGGAAGGAAATGTCCAAACGTTAATTTCCACATGGCCTTCTAAGTTATAAGTGTGCTTGCCTCTCACAGTCAGGGCTTTCTTTATCCTAGTGAAGTCTCCTTTATCCTAGTGAAGGATTCTCTTTATATGCATAGCTAATGTTCTCAGGAAACCACACACTGATTATGTAGGATTTCCAGTAGGATTCTCTTTATATGCATAGCTAATGTTCTCAGGAAACCACACACTGACAGATCCCTTCTTCTCCAATTGGCTTATAGTGCCACTGGTAGCACAAGTATCCAGTACCTTCATATGCGTGGACTAGTGGTCTCTATGTGCTCTATTACATGTCATGGTGTTTTATGTAGGTATTAGAATCGTGTATGGCACTACCCATGTATTTT